TGCAATTTTATAGATAAACGTGGCAATATCGATTTTTTTTTCTCGCATTCCTTCCGTAGCTACAGATCCGCTGGTCAAACAGTACCCGCTTTCTGTCGGTAAACTTGAGGATACTCAAAGGAAGGCGAGCCTCTTCGAGCTTGGCTCGTGTTGTGTTCAACCCGATCCAACGATCCTCGAAACGAGTACGGAGGTTCGGTTCAGTATCAGTGTCGTCTTGACTTTTGCTTTTTTTATTTATTATTCTCTTTTGATGCCGCCTTAACGTTTCGGAAAGTTTATCTCTTTCCGTCGTCGCGTCGGAAGCAAAAAATACAAAGAATAAAGAAAAAAACTATTTAAAAAACCAACCCAAACACTTTAGTTTTTTTAAAACAGTCTTTTCTAAGTCTACAAAAACCCTTGACGTTCTGTTAAAATGACATTATATCAAGTTAAAGTTAAAAATTAACAATTACTACCTGATAACAATTACTTAATAAGGTAAAACCAAAAAGCCTCAAACTTTCTATATGATTATTTTTAATTTGTTTTTAATTTTTACCTATGTTATGTTTATTTATATTATATTCTTTAAAATCAAAGAAGCGATTGCCATACATTGGTACAATCCAAAGTACAGAATATTACTAACATCTACAGAATGCATGAGCAATACATTTATTTTTATTAGATTGTATTAAAAAGCCTCTTTTCCGTATTCATTGGTTTAGTGTGTGATAAAATGGATTTAAGTGAATTTTGTGTTTTGAAAGATGTTCGTATGTTTATGTTATACTCTGTTTTTTTTTCTCAGGTAAGATTTCAACAGACGATGACAGAAGAAAAGCAAATGACGTCCCATACCAATCTATTTATTTTACTAAAAAAGTTTCGAATATTTTTTAAGTTAACTATGGATGGGTTTAAATTAGGGTTGCTATAACCGTCCTCTATTCCAGAGGACAGGCTTCTTTTTGATATCACTGTCCTCTTTTCTCTCACGTATTGAAAAAGTCCTCTTCTTTACATACCAAACTCAAAATCTAAAAATCTATTCCCACAATGCTTTAAAAAATGTTAATCTGTACCTTTTGCTACTCCCACTTATTTGTACAGAAAATAAAATGAGGAACTATTTATATACAACAAATATCTCTGGAAGCGATAAACATGTTGGTAAAGGTGTGGATCCGGTGGCTGACCTTGAAATAAGTTTTTGCATCGATGTTGCCAGATTGAAGGTTATTTTGGAATTATTTTCAGTAGAAAACAGATAATGTGTTTTTCAGTGTTTTTTTTTGTCAATATAACCGTATGATTGAAAAAAACGGCATCGATTTGCCTGGGAAATGACGATCGATGACATTTCCTATATAAATTTACATATAAAATGACAGCGATCTCATTTCATAGTCATCGCTGACGCCATTTTTTTGTCGATCATATGGTATTATTTATGTTATTATTTTAATATTTCTCACAACACGTGAACCCTTATTAGGTATTTTCATAGTCAATAAAATTAAATAGAAATACAACTGTAGATTGCTATAAATAATCTAATTGCTCTAGATTATTATGCTAAGCTTAAAAAGTGCTTTATTAAAAATTCGGTAAATTAAAAGGGGTTCCAAATTTCTTCTTTTTTTGGAATTTTTAAATGCTGTAGCTCCATATTATGTCCATAATAGGTTTTATAACATTCCATTAAAACTATGTAGGCATTAAAAAGACCTTTTAGCATCCGTAATTATAACTGTAGAATCAATAGATATAGACCTTGTTTAATATATAGACCTTGTTTAATTCTGCTTATACCTACATATATTGAATTATTTTTTCTGCTACCTTAAGATCTTTCTATTCTTACACCTAATTTATGTTTTCTTGACATATAGGTATGTATGATTTATAAACAATATTTTTCCTAATGGAAGGTAAGTATTAAGATATCATAACATTCATTCTCCACGCAACAAAGCATAATATACAGTGTGTACATCAACATCGAAGTATGGAATAAATTCATTTTCTTGAACTGGAATTTTATTAAAAAAAATGCTCGAACACGTCGATCTATTTTATAAAAGAGGCACATTTTAGGTATATTACCTTGCCTCCAGCTTCACCCCCAGAATTTAATGGGAAGGGGGATCGAGTGATACCTTATTTTAAAGGCATTTCGCTCCAGACTATGTTCCTAGAGTTTGAAGTTGCTAATGTCATTTTTGTTAACATGACAGCTTGTCAAAATTCCTAATTTTCTTAGTTTGTCAAGATACCATATTAACAGAAATTATGGTAGCAACTTCAAACTCTAGGGTTATAATTTCTAGCGAGAAACCTTTAAAATAAGATATCACTTGACTCCCTTCCCGTTACAAAAATTAGGGGTTCCACTCACCCCCACTCGGTGGGTGAAGCTAGAGGCAAGGTAATATGGTAAAATGCCTACTAATATCATAAATAAAGTTTGAAGTTGCTACCGTAATTTCTGTTAATATGGCAGCTTGACAAAACTAATAAAATTAGGAATTTTGACAAGCTGTCATGTTAACAAAGATGACACTAGCAACTTCAAATTCTAGGGCTATAATTTGGAGAGAGAGACCTTTTATAATAAAATATCACTCGACCTCCCATCCATTACAAAAACTAGGGGTGCCACTCACCCCCGCTCGGGGGATGAAGCTCGAGGCAAGTTGTAATATGCGTAAAGTGTGACCCTTTTAAAAAATAGATCGACGTGTTCGAGCATTTTTCTTACTAAAATCCCAGTTGGAGAAAATGAATTTATTCCATACTTTATGTACAGTACTAGTTCATAAGCCTGTCTCTGCCAGGCAGCCAGGTAATGTATATGGTGTTCCTAAGTGTCATGTTTATATGGGAAGGGGAATTCTTTGGCTCCTTTTATGACAAAAAAATTCTTTTAAAGGTATAATGGTAATTTTATGCTAATTGTGGCTACATAAGCCGCTTACTACTATCGACGACTATAAACACATGTAACATTCCTATAACTGTGAACAAAATTGGGAAGAGTTACCTCGTTTTGTATGTATATTTCATTTAGAAACACTCTGTATATAAAACTATTTCATATACCATAAAAAACATCTTTAAGGAAATCACAAAACTTCTTTGTAAACAATGTTGCTTGCAAATACTTTTGCCGATCCCTTTAGAAGCCTACCTTGTTTTTCCTAGTTTTCTAAAATTTTTCTTTTATATCGCTATGGGACCTTACCCTTGAAAATGCTACATACATCTGTCCGTGACTAAATACAGGCTTAGGTAAGTATACGCCCACCTTATTTAAAGTCTGTCCTTGAGATTTATTTATTGTAATGGAAAAAGCCAATCTAACAGGAAATTGTCGTCTTCGTAAAACAAATGGCAGATCTGGAAGTCTATTCTTGGTATAAATGCAGGGTTTCCAGTTGAGATACCTGTTAAGATCTTTGCATATATTAGATTTTGTGACAGCTTAGTAACTTCTAATCGGGTGCCGTTACATAATCCACTTCGAGTATTCAAATTTTTTAGAAGCATAATAATTGAACCCACTTTGAGATTTAATTTATGTGGTGGTATTCCCAAAGGTGTTAGGCTATTTAAGCATTCAACTGGATAATTTTCATTTTCTGAGATATCATTGCATTCCACTGAATCGATACTTAGAAAAGTTATTTTGTCTCCTTCTAGAATATTTAAAACTTCCTCATTAATTTATGTTACATCGTCATTTCTTGGACAAAGAATGGCTGATTTAGAGTATGTTTCAACATCACATGGCTGTAATCTTTGCCCAAATATTTCTTCTTCGATAGATTTTTTGGCTATCATTGTATCTGGGATTTCAATTATATCTTGACCGAGACCGTTATCATTAGTTAATTGACCACTTCCCATTTTCAATATCCAAGAGCTGTAGGAACTGTCTGCAGATCGTACGTTTATACTCAACTGTAAAATTTTGAATTCCGACCATAGGTGACAATATTTCAATGATGTTTGGACAATTGTTGCTCTATCTGCATGGGGCACAACTGGCAGACATTGACGAAAATCGCCACCTAATAACAAAACTTTGCCACCGAATGGATAATTATTTTGCATAATTGACTTAAGTAACCTATCAATAGCATTAAGTGCATAGCTAGGTGCCATCGTTGACTCATCCCAAAGTATTAACTTTGCGTTTTTTATCTGAAGCGCATCAGTAGTATTGGTTCTCATATTTGATGTTGATGTTTATACTGTTAGGAGGCATTTTTAAACCGAAATCGCTGCATTTTTTACCATGTAATTGAAGTATGTCCTGAACCTGATGAAGTGCCAAATATTCACATGTTTTACAATCAGGAGTGTGATTTCTATGTTTGTGAACTAAATCTTCAATAAAGCAATCCAAAAAATGAATCCAAAGTTTATGTGGCTCCGCCGGACATCCAAATATACAAATGTAGGCAAAAAGCTGTCGAAGAGTATGAGGTATTCCTATAGCAATAGCCTCTTCCAGAGTTGACTGCCAGGCAGAATCGTCACTTAAAAGACCCATTGCTTTAGCTGCTTCCTTAAAACTGGGCCACATAACTCCGTTTCCAGTATTCAAATGATCGAATCCGGTCGCACCTTGCGAGTAGATCAATAACAATCTGAGGTAATATCTTTCACCCTCAATCACACTGACAGTATACATGCGACCTATTACATTGTCTCCACCTCGTTTTCGCTCTTGCCAACCAGTTTTTTTGTTATACACGTACAGCTGGTTCAAAAAAAAATGAATACGACTCTTTACACTTTCGAACATTTGGGCAGTGTATATTTATGTGTCAAGTATTTTGACATTTTAAGGTTATTGTGACATTGTATAAAACAACTTTGCTTTTGACAAAGTGGCAGATAAATTGTTCAGAACGTCAGCATGACATGAGTAGAGAAATGGGGGACTGGTATCATAGAATATACTGCCCGAAATAATAAAAATATGTTTTAAATCGTATTCAATTTTATTGGAACCAGCTGTACTTTTCTGGTATTTCCTGGTAATAAAACCTTCGAGCATTTGGACTACTTTCATTAAGTAAATACCATGCAGTGAGTATGGAAGTGGTCATCGATATATTATTAACCGCATCTTGAGCTGTATCCGGTCGAAAATATAAAGTCTGTTGGTTTGGTAAATGGACTGCTAAACGTATAATATTATGTGATTGATGATGCATCGGTTTTGCCAAAATTCGCCATGCCGCCTCAGGTGCACTTACATATCTGGTATCAACATATGTACTTACTTCATCATGGCTAAGTTCTTTTATTTCAACATTGGCATCATCATGACCTTTATAAACATATTTGAATAGATACTTAACACTTTTTACAGAGGCACATACTTCAACATTAATATGACAATTATATTTTAAGCTTAAATAAGGGTTGTATGGTACTATCCACTGATTTGACACTTCTAATCCACCAGCTGTTTTATAAATAGCTGAGGTGTTTCTACGGCGATATTTTGGATAACTATCTGAGTTCGAAACCGTTACTACTTGGACTGGTTTTGGATATTCTTTTGAACATTTTCCGTCTACCATGCAGGGAGAACTGGGATTAACTGTTCCGCAGAGACCATGGACCATATGACGCAACACAATTTTGTGTAGTTGCGGCGACTCTGTAGGATCAGGAATCTCAGCTGAAACAATGGTATCAATATCATCTCGATCACGGATTTTGTCAACATCAGCTAAAATAATTAACATGTGACAGTGTGGCAAACCCTTTTTTTTTGAAACTCTATGACATGAATTTTTGCAATTACCTTACTCACAACCAAAAATGTGTTTTTTACAAATGTCAGATAAAAGCTCGTTTAACTCGAGCTACTAAATCAGGTCGATCAGTTTGGTAAGGTTCCATATTTTCGGTTATTTCTCTCCATTTTGGATTACAGGTCATGGTTATAAAAAGATCTGGCTTGCCAAATCTGCGCACTATTGCCATAGCATCTTGATAATTTTGCTGCATATTTCTAGCACTACCTATAAACGTTGATGGCAAAATTACCAGCTTTCCGACAGACAAATTTTCTTGTGCAGCTTTAGAATGAAAAAAGTCCATTAGTCCTTGATAAGACTCTGCTCGAAGTTCATTTTGGTGATCTTTTATCCACTTTAATCTATTTGCTTCCATCTTTACACATGAATCTACTAAATACTGCTGTGTACTTAAAAACTGATTGAAGTAGTTACGAACTGCAATACGATAGCTATAATAGGCCATTTGTGAAACTCGTTGTCGTTTACTATTGGTGGTATCTTTAACACAAAGACCTATATTGGGATGCCATCCTGACTCCCCAAACGGAAAAAGAAGGGGATATGTCAATGGTTCCAAACTGGGATGTAAGACACTTATACGATTTCTGATTGTCTTAGGATTATTTGACTCGGGCCGTAAATGTATAAGAAGGTCCCGCTCAAAAGGTGGTTCTCCATCAATATTTTGAAATATAACTGCGACTTCATTAGCACGGGGAACATTATACCTATTCTTGTCCATCGAACGGTCATACTTATCGAATAGGGTGCGATACCTTTACACCTTACCTCATTTTCTGCCTCCATTTCTACCTCGTACACGCCTTGGCCAATGGATTATGTTTACTTAAAAATTGTCCTAGAATATGCATTATGGAAGTATTGCAATTAGTGTTACCTACAATATTCATCCGCTGATTCGTTGCTTCATCAGGGTCAAGAATATAAAACTGGGCGTACTTTCGGGTTCACCAGGTGCAGGATGGAGTGTAGTCGATCTATGATAAACCTGTCCATGGATACGAAAGCAATATGGACCGGATCCTGGTGGAGTCTTAACTTGAGCCCCCATCGATGCAAATGAAAATGCACTATTAAAAGAGCGAATATTTGACATGAAATTTTTAGATTCTGAATGTTTTCCAGTTAATAATTCATATAGTATGCCGGGATATGGGTTCGAGCTTTGGCAAGTAAGGTCTACTTTGCCTTTTTGACAACAATCTGAACACATTTTATCCTGAGGTAATTCCCCAGAAAAGTGCTTGGCGCTACAGAAGGTACATATTAAATTCATAGGTCCACAGTAGTGTTCATTAAATCTCTTCTCAACATCATTTGTTATTATATTTTGTTTTCCTATTTTAATTATTTGACACGTATTATTTCTTTTAGATCTTAGAGTTTCCATCCATTTTTTCATTTCTAATAACCTTTTTCTTTTCTCTTCTTCGTTTTCCTGAGATATCTTCATTTTTTTTCGTTCTGTGTCCGATTTTAATCTCCTACTCCTATATCCTCAAATGTTTCTTGACTTAGCCTTATTTTCGCTCTTTCTTTCTTACCCATTAATATGGCTTTCCTTGATTTTCTTTTATTAAAGTTATTTTTAGCATCTCCTGGTAGTGTATTTTCAGAAATTTGGGGTGCAACTAAAATTGGTTCTAAGACATCAAAGTGACCGCCACAAAGCTCGCCAGAAAAACGAAGTCGTTTGATAGGATGGTTTTCAGTACCAAACGCGCAATATACAGCGTTGTTTCTCCACACTTCAAATTGATATAAATAAATTTCTCCAGCTGCCTGAAGTTCGCATATGGTACCATACGTCTCCCTTTTCTGCATATCAAGGAAATAAGATTCAGGAGTTGTATAATTATCCCCTCTCCCTGTACTGGTTAAAACCTGAAATCGGTTCCAGTTTCTTACTACATGTTCAACTATATCATTACGGCCTTCCATGCCCCTATTTATCGTACCATAAATTAAATACGATAATGAGGAAAACAAACAATTTCCATCTCCAGGAATACGCACAACAGAGTAGGGTACATTATTTATCTTGAATGTCATATTGATATGAAAAAAAATTAAAGTAAAGTAGGTAGGTATTTAATTAGCTACACAAAAATGAAAAAACAATTCTTACAAACTAATAAATTCAAACCATAAAATATTCTACTGATTACTAAATACTAAATGATATAACTAAACAGATAAATCTAATATCCTTATCCTAGCAACGCAAAAATGTCTAAATTCTAGCGACCATGCACCGATATCGACTGCCTAACACAACGAATCAAATAAGAATCAAAGAATGAAAATAATGTGTAATATCAACCGTCCAGGTAAACTTTTAAATAGTAACCTTGATCTCGCGTCGCAACCGTCGAACCGTCCGCGTTCGCATCAGCTCGGCGGCAGGAGTGATGTCTTATTAAAATTTAGGCGCATCCGCCACGACATCAAGAAAAAAAAATACTTTTTTTTTTCTTAATTAAATGAATAACAAAAAATCCGGTGATGACAGTTTTTAGAAGAGCCAATTAGCTATCTTTTAGTAAAAAAGCAACTTTCTAGAGCAAGTCGTTACTTCAGTAGAGACGACACAGATAAATATTAGCATTTTATATATGTAGATATAGTATGTAGTAGGTATTAAGAGATAAAGGTATTAAGAGATAAAAAAAGCAATATAAATCACAAACTAACTTAAGTCTTAAGTTTGTCTGTGTATAAATCTAATAAGATCAGAAATGTACCTTCACCATATTATTAAGATTTTAGCATTACAGGAAAGCAATTGCAGTAAAGTAAGAAAAGAATATCAAAGTACAGGATATTAAATATTGTAATGTATTCACGACACAAACGATATCCCTTCAAAAGAGAAAAATATAAAACATAAAGCTTATTTGAATATTATCGGCATTCATCGATAAGATACCGTATGATCGATCAAGATCGGCGTCAGCGATGGCTATGAAATGAAGATCGCTGTCGTTTTATATGTAAAATTAAATGTGAAATGTCACTGATGTTCATTTTCAAGCCAACTGGACGCCGTTTTTTCTCGATCATACGGTATATGCCTACAATTGCTATTAATCCACTATAACTTGATATTTTTAAGAAATTATGACACAAACACTATAATCAAACTAGGTAAAGTTACCTCCTCGGTTATCTCTATCTTATTGACTTGTATTATGCTGTAAGGCTCAGTAATGCGGTAGTAGCGTAAGATCGAAGAAAAACGGCGTCAGCAATGGCTATGAAATGAACATCGCTCTCATTTTATATGTAAAATTATATGAGGAACGTCATCGATCGTCATTTCCAAGCCAACTAAATGCCGTTTTTTTCGATCATACGGTACTTCAATATACTATAATAATTAATTGATATAATCAAAATTATTGTTGCCTGTAAATAACTAGAAATTAAACAATTTGGATGTAATAAATGTGTCATATTGATGATACAAAATAATTCTAATAAAAATTTTGAAATTATAGAATTTGTGTTATTACTGGTTAACACTCAAAGAAACATTTGTTTTCAACTGCAAATAATTTCAAAATAAACTGCAATTTGGTGACATCGACGATGTGCGCTTGCGTAGTATTGATGATCAAATGCAGCAAATATGAGTTTCAAGGTCAGCCACCGGATCCACATCTTTACCAATATGTTTAACGATTTTATGTTTACTTAGTTTAAATAAAAGTTTTGTTGAAAATGTTGTTTTGTTTTAACAAATTTTGAGAATAAATAATTTTAAGAATGTAAGAAAGACCATCAATCGCATACTGTTACGGCACTTTTTGGAATAGTTTAGATATTTGGGTTGGGCGAGGTTTCAAAAAATGTTTTGTCTGTGCCGCTTTTTTACGTTCTCGTCCTCTATTTTTTATTTTGAAAGTTGGCAACCCTAGTTTAAATATAAATCCATCACGCGTCGTCTCTTGTTGGTTTTAACCCAGGACTGTATATATTCTAAAGGACAGTTCGATCCATAGACTAATGCCCACTTGCACCGTTTGTATAAACTTTGTTTAAAGGCTAAACAGCGATTAACTATATTAAAATATTATATAGTTAATCACTGTTTAGCCTTTAAACAAAGTTTATACAAACGGTGCAAGAGGGCACTAAAATAAAATATAGACTACACTATTTACATCTGAACGCGGTCAAAGAATCATTTTTGTACACATGTTTACTTCTGGGTACACTCGACCGCAGCCGACCAAACCTTCCTCGTCCAGCCTATGTTGTCACGTCTTTAATATTATCAATATTTTTTTACTTATTTTACACATATATTGAGATATTAATACTGCATTTTAATAAAGTACGTTTTAATATTCCATAGATGTATTAAATAGTCCTTATACTACTTAATTATAAGTCGAATACTATGTAAAAAGGATAAATCCTTTACAATATGGCAACACCGATTAGAGGCGAGGTCGCCTGTTCATTCATCTATTAACTTGTAGTACGCGTCAGACGTTTGTAGTAAAGCATTGTTGCCGCTACTTCTCTCTGGTTGTTTTATTACATTTTCTTAGTTTGTAGTCCTTAAATGTTTATTTTATTTATTTTTTGTATTCAAAATTTCTATAAAATATGGTTCACCAGTGTCAAATAAATAATCCATTTGAGCACAGAATATTTAGCTACGCAACAGAAAAATACTCGAAATGAAAGAGCTAAAATTGCACAAATAAAATACTAGATGGCGCGACAATATCATAATCAGAATATAATTGGAAATTTTCAACTTTCTGTTTTGGATCGACGTAGATCGACGGCACGTCGACGGCCTTAAAGTTCGGCTAAATATGCACAGTTGCCAGATTCAAACAGACTTTAATTGACATCCCATTCTTTTTCTGGTGTATAATAATTTCTTTCTATTCTTCGTTACTTGT